TAAAAAAAAAAAAAAAAAAAAAAAAAGAACTATCCCTTGAAAAAACTTGTGGTGCAAGTTACGACTTTTGTATGGTTCATTGATAAGAAACCCTAAAAACTCAACACTCTGGTGTATTTTGATATAAATAAACCTTTTTGAATATCATCTAGTTTACAAGTCCATATCTCCCTGCCAGCGCCGGGTCCTCTTGTGGTAGGATGAACAATGTCAGAGAGTGAAGTGTGTGTGTTTTTTTTTCTCATTTGGCCTCATCTCTGTTAACTGTAATACCAACCTCACTCTCTGAGTCTTCAACAACCGGAGAAGCTAACCAACGCAGAGGATTGATACAGTTAAAGTATCAATGTCGGACTTTGGGAGTGATTGGTAGTTGCTGTTATCCACGGTCCTATTTATTTTTACAGCACTAAATTCAGAGCAATCAAGTTTTAATTTTTTTTTTTTGAAACCACGGCTCTTGAAATAACCTACAGCTATACAAGTGCTATGCAAAGCCAAATATCCAAACAATTTTTGAATGATTTCCAAAAGATCTACAGCAATAAAATCTAAGGGAAAATTGGAAAATTGGGACACTTTGAACTTTTATTTGTTCATATAGGACTTCTCATACTTTTGGCAATTCTAGACATGTTTTACCCTTTATAATGAAAAAAATAGTAAACTAATTTTGAAAAATAGAAAAAAAATATGAGAAGGCTAGTAAACATAAGTATGACAATATATATGTTTAAGTTTTTATTTTTTAAAAGTGGAATCATATTTTATGTTGTCTTCTAGCTACAGATAAAATACTCGTTTTAGTTATCTACTCAGTTTAGAAATCATATACTGGGTGTTCTTGCTAGATAGACCCGAGGTATGAAACGTAATATAGCATTTCTTGTCTATTCTAACCAAGGTAGTATTGGTAACGTTATAATCAAGGCATATGTCTTTGGTGTACGTGAAGCTAGATACCGATTTATAACCATAACTTATTGATATACCCCATCTAGATTTTGTGCCATAACCAATTCAACATGTTACCTTATGTGACGCTTGAGAAAGAATACGTTTCCCACATTTTCTACTGTGTTCTACCTTAGGTAGTATACATATTCTAGGTAATCTGCAAAATATGGAAACTTCCATATTCGGTTGAAGATGTTTCCTAAATATCTTAGAGAATATTTTGTCCACGGTTTTCTCTCTTCCTCACGGGATCGATCGATCCCAGAAAGAGTCGGTCGATCCCGACGGTCGATCTCGATGATTAAACAAAAACATAAAAAACACGGAGCAGAAACTAATCGACCTTGTCTAGTTCAGTCGATCTTCACCGATCAATTTATCATAGATCGATCGATCTCTATTTTAGATCGATCGATCCCGATCCCAAATAATAGAACCGAACCGAAAATAACCAAATATTTCTCTTTGAATCAGTTTTGATCCTCGGGTGTGTTGAATCATGAGTCACCTTGATACATAATGTGTTCTTCGTGTACGAGTATGTGTTGAATTGTCACATAATTATGTCAGAGAGAAGGCGGAATCACCATGGGAGAGAGCTCGGCGGAGAAGATGATGTAAAACAAAATTAGGGTTATCGATTCCCCTTTGTACTTTGTGTCCCGATTCTTGTTTTTTTTTTTGTTTTTTTTTTGTTTTTTTTTGTTTTATTTATAATTTAAATTTATAATTCCCTTTAATTGATTAATTTTAAGGGTATTATGGTATTAACAGATCTGAAAATCCTATTTTCCCAAAAAAATCTTCTAAAAATCTTATAGGGACAAATCCAAGTTGAAAGTGTCCTAATTTTCTAATTTTCCCAAAATCAATCTAAAGCCACAGCAAAAAAGTGTACAGATTTTTTTCTACAACAAAAACTTTAAAGTTAATCATTACCAATTGGACCCAAATAGCTGAATCTAGTAATGAGTAATGACATTTCCACCTGCTCTTCATTTTGGTTCTTGCACTCTTACTAATAACTTTACCTGATTGTACTTTTTGGTTTAAGACGTATTCTTTTTCCTTTCTCCAGTTGCTCTTGATTATGGTCAGATTCGGGAAGTCTCAGGCAGTAGTCCGTCAATGTTTATCATCAAATTGTTGGTAATCTTTATGGAGTTGAGACTTTGTTTGATGAAAAAAGAAAGAAGCAATTGAGACAAAGTAACAAGAATGAACTGACAAGAAGTAAACATTGCAATAACTAATAACAAACGCTAAAGTTTGCAGGTGATCGTCATCATCAAATTATTTAGTGCTGGGAGGACAAGATCTCTCTCTATCTCTTTCTCTACTACTACAACTACTCTGCAACGACAACACTAATCTCGTCCTTCTCAAGCAAATCATAGAATGATCTTGTCTTCCTCTGCTCGTTCCAGTGGTGCATCTTCCATAGCCCACCAGCTGCTAGACCTAGTGCAAGACCTATAACTAACTCCTTCACAACACTTGGACCTTTCAACGTTGCGTGCGCAATCTTGTGCCCAGCCATCTTCTCTTCCTCACTCTCCTGCTCATTAAACCAACCAACACATAGATCATGAATGCACATTAAAACATTAAAATTCAACAAAAACACTTAACATCATCCGTCCTTAGTTATAAACACTTAAAAGCCAACACATTTGAGACATAGACAACTTCAGTTAGATAATCCTACAGTAATCACAGTCAACAATGTTGAACCACAACAAGACAATAGCTCTGTCACACATTTAAGGAATATTCCTACAGTGAATACAGACAACAAACACAAACCAAGCCTTTGTCAAAATAAGCTTCAACCTTTTAACAAAGCAAGACAAGAAAAAATCAAAGAAAACACAAACAATCATTAAAGTATGAAACAACTTATAAAGTGGATCAGTCAAGGAGGTCTTTTGATCAGTGCAGGAGTTTTATGAGGGCAGCTAAAATGATGATAACAAAAGCCACAAGGAGACTAATATATAGGGAGAATTCTAGATTGACAATCAATGTTAGAAAGCAACCCCACGCCTTTAAAAATCGACCCTTCAGATTTTCAAGACACATGCAACCAAAGGTGCAGTGGACCAAAATCAGGTTCATTATTGGAGAGTTTGCGGAGCCAACAAATGCCATAGCTTAAGGCATGGACAAGGGCCCTCTCCTATTAAAAAAAAAATAGTCTCCTTGAAACTTAAATTAAACTTCAAAATAGCCACACACATAGTAGTAACCCATAAAAGCATCCTGCTCAGACCTTTTACTTTTATTATTCCATCATCTCCACTCTACAGTCTACACAAGATACATATCAAACAAGCCTTCTGCAGTTAAAAATATTAAAAGCTAGAAACTTTCGATATCTTAACCAACAAAACAAAAGAAAGGGATCAACCCAGTTCATGAAATCGAGTTTTTTCAGACATTATACGGATGCAGACAAAACAGAGAGTCATTGTGAGCATAACACGAAAGAGAAAGCATGAAACTTTACAGATTATAAACAGAGAGAGATAGAGAGAGAGATAGAAATAAACCTGTTCAACAGAGTTTGGCAATGCTGAGGGACGCAGAGGTTTGATGTGCTTTTATATTCATGTAGGTCATTAAGTTCATTTCTAGGGCTTTCAGAACCAGCAATGCGACACCGTTTCGGCCATCGTTTGATTATTGGATTGGTAATGCGATTTCTACTCTAGTATCGATGTTGGCTTTTGCAATTATGATTATTAATAAACTGAAATGATGTTTGATATGTAAAATGAGTTTTTGTGCTATCAAAGATTGTATTACAACAACGCACCACACAAATAAAAGTAATCAAATCTATTCCTGCGTTTTCAAAATTGAGGTTTTGTTAAACATTATGCTTCAGAGAGAGCGTTTCCGTGTCTGGTCTTGAGACCGAACAGATTCTTCAGCAGGTCAGCAGTGTTTGGAGGAATCTTTGCAGGTCGTGGAGCCATGAAGTTGACAATCTTCTCATGCACATTATACCTGTTTCGTTTTTTGTTTTACACAGCAATGATTCAGAATAGTTAAACACTCAAACTATGCTGCTGATGAATAATCGTAACGAGAGGAGATGAAAGTGATTTTTTTTTTTTTTACCTTATCTTTCTGCTCTTAGAGGCACGCCTATCCACAACTTTCCTCTTCTTCGTTTGAAACTTCTTCATCGCGTAGAAAGCCGCCTCTGCCAATGTCAATTCAAGATTTGATATTTCAGTAAACGGATTGGCTCTTTTAAGTCTCTCAACACTAGTCAAAACTATACCTGAGGAAGCTGGATCAATGGTTTCAAAGAACTCCTTTAGTAACTGTTGATAGAATTCTGCATCCTCTACAAGTTCAGGGTCTCCTTCAAGTTGTTTTTCCTGAACAAAAAGAGAGTATACATGTTAGAGAATGATAAAATAACTGATTACTCTTTGACTCGGATAGAGAATACTGTGACGATACCTCTGTTTTTGGTTCCATGGTTTCCTTAGGGACCTGTGAATGATACTTAAAGGATCAGAACACGCTTAAGACAAGCTGATGTCTTGATAGTTTTATTGGTAAAACAAAAACTTACAGTTCCAAAAACAGCAACAGTAGATTTTGATTGTTGCATTTGTTTAATCATTCTACTTGGATCCCTCATGTAAGAAGCAACCTGTTCACTAACGTTCTGCATTTTGAAAATCATGTTATGTTCTGATCAATACACACATGGATGAGAGCAAAATCATTTTCTCTGTTTGTTGATTATCTATACCTGGTTAAAGGCATGGAGCTTTCCTTTGATAGCAGCTGCACCAGTTGTGACTTGTGTTCTTCTCTGCCATTTGTCCACAGCCTTGTTTCGGAACACACACATTCTGCATAGCAACGTCCAAAATGTTGTGTTAACAACGAAACAAAATAATGAGGTAGCCACTGAATGAAGACAATCATGTTTTTACTAAACAGTAACTTTTTGCTTGGACAGAACAAGGAGAGCTTCAAAATTGATACCTGTTTTGCATGTCAGATATTCTGTGCCATTCATCGCTATCTTCTGCATCAGATTTATTGGATTCGGTACCATTTGCTTGTTGGTCAACCGAGGGATTCTTCTCAAACAAAGCCTGCAAAAATTTAAAAGAGTAAACAAAGGTAACAGAGAGATAACACACTCAGAGACGCCAAGCTTACACATACAGAAGCAAGATACAACTTTCATTACAAAGGAAAATAGAAGAAGAAAGATGAATCTTGACATACATACCTCTTGCAACTCCAAGAGGGAATCTAATGTCTTCTTAGAAGAAGTAATCAGCTCTCCGTATGCTGCTGAGACCTTCTCATCTTCCGAACAAAATGACGATTTGACAGTCTCCTGGAAACCGTTTCCTTCTGTTATAAGCATATGATGACACAAACAAGGATGAACAAGAACAAAGAGAAGAAAAAATAGCTTACCTGTGGCAATCTGTTTGAACTACTAAATGCTTTCTGAAGTAAGAATCTCAACTCCAAAGTTTTATCCCAAAGAGCCTTTACATTGAACACACAAAAGAAAAGAATCTTCTTTAAACATCTGCAATTCGATGAACGTGAACTCTAGTAGGACTACTTCACAAACCGTAGAGCAATGTCATACCTTTTGGTTCTTCACTGCTTGACCTTTAGCAACATCCTCGTTCTTATCACGCTTCAGGTTTTTCAATATATCCCTATATTAAACAAGAATCAAAAAAAGTGAGCTACTGCACAATCCCAATAGCTTCAATAAGCACAAACCCACTTCTAAATCTACCCAACAATCTTATTAAATGTTACTCAGCTAAACTAAAAGTTGAGACTCTAATAAGACTATCTACAGTTTCCACAAAGACACACAAGATTTCACCATGAGAGAAACCAAAACAACAATATATATCCCTATACCAAGAAGAAGCATATTAAACAAGAATTAAACAAGTGAGCTACTACTGAGCATATCCCAATAGCTTCAAAACTAGAGATAGTTAAAAAGATAAAATCTTTACTGTTCCTGTGAACGAAGCTCCTGATACTCTTTCTCAAGCTCTTCCATTGCAGCATCTTTATTGTCATCACTCCCTTCCTCTCCACTCTCACTTCCTTCTTCGCTTTCTCCATCTACATCTTCCTTCTCACCTCCTTCACCACTTTCCTCACTATCTTCTTCATCATCTTCCTCCTCTTCTTCACTCCCTTCACCATCCTCTAACCCATCAGACAACTCTTCATCTTCACTCTCCCCTTCCACCTATACCAGAATCCTCAAAAACCAAATTAATTAACTTAAAAACAGACATCTAAAACAATACAAAAGCAACACACAAAAAACACACCTCGAGATTGTCCTCTTCGCTCATCTCTTCTGATTCACTTTCATAAAGTCTTGACCTTTTAGACTTCTTTGATCCTCCAACCATCTCAAAACACTCCTAAAGCTACAATCAACGAGCAGAGTCTATTATACAGATGCAAAGCTTATATAAAGGACATAACTTTACGAAGCAGAATCATAAAACTAACCTTAAAAACTGTCGAGAATCTTGGAGTCGTGTCCTACGAGTAGCAGAGAAGAAGTTGTGAAAAGGAAGAAACTTTGGCTGAGCTATGAGAAAGAGAGAATCATAAACCCTAGAGATTTCACTTTAACCAACAAACCGGTCGGTTTTTAATTTTTAATTGTTTTGGTTTAGTAGGACCGGTTGGATTAACAATTCGACCGTTAAACCGGTCGGTCTATCCTGGAATTAAAAACATTGATATAAAAAGTATAAATTTACTTGTTTATGCTCTTCTCTCCGTTAGAAGAAAGTTATAAAAAACTATAATTGACATGATAATTAATCTGAATCTTTTAACTTATAAAAGATATAACTGACTTGTTCATGATCTTCTCTCCATTAGAAGAAAACTAGATAAAAACTGAATGTTCTTTTAAAGGGCTTTTGATTTCACATTTCAAGTAGAGTGATTAGTGATAAAGACCACTCACTAGCTTATTTGTCGTTTTTATTACTGTAAACCGGATCATTAACATACTTCTTATAAAGATTCAATTCAAATAAAGAAAAAAACAAAACAAAACAAAACTTATATTGGTCTGGTCTGTTTCAAGAAAAAATGTGACTTCTTCCATCTTTGTATTGAAATACATTGTGCTTGAACTTTTCTATGCTCAAAAATTCTTGTTGATGTGGATCTTGTCAACATCTTCATTAACTTAAGAAAATAACTAAACCACTTTGCTTAGAGAGATATACATAAAGTGTCGGCAATTAAATTTGTACTGTAGGATTAACCAAATGTGAATTACAAGATTGGCATTAATCATAGCTTCTGATATGTGACTTTACATTTTACAATGATAGGAAAATGTAATAATGACTAAAAAAAAAGAGAAGTTTGCAGATCATGTGATTGATTTTTTCTCCACCGTCTCTACCTTTGCCTTTCTTTGAAGTGAAAGCTACCTGAGAAGTATCCTTAAACAATCAATAATCTCTCAAGAAACTCACAAGATTTCTTGGAAACTCTTTAGCCCTTTGATGCATATCTTAGTGTTCTCTGTCTCGTTGATCTGAATCTTGATCGAATACTCGTCCTCTCTACCAATCTTTTGATCCTCATCGTTCTTGACGCAGCTTTGGTAAAATAAATAGTTGACAATAGTGTCAAGAACCAAGAAGAGAGCGTATAAGTAAGCTATGAACGTTCCTTCAACAACTAAAGAAGTGATATCTCTGTCTCCTTTGTAATAAGACCTCACAACTCTGTACTGAAACAAGGCTTCTACGCCAGCTAAGCCGAGATTAGTAGGCAGAGCAAGAGCCAATGCTGTGGAAGTTCTTCCTTGGAGAAGAAGGCACGCCTTGAGAATCGTTGTGTATCCTCCTGAGGATGAGGAAGTTGATGAAATCAATGCTAGGTTGGAGATTACAAAGGCGTTTGCGAGGATGATGGAGTAGATAATGGCTGAGGATAAGGAGAAGAGAGTGTGGAAGTTTCTTGAAGAGAAGCCAAAGGAGTCAATGAGATTGAATGTTACAAAGAAGAGAGCAAAAGCAGAGGCGTTTGCTGAGAGGAGGAAGAGAGAGTTGCAAATGTAAGTTTTGAGAAGACGGAAGTAACAAAGAGAGGAGTCTCCATGAGTGTTTGAGAGGAGTTTGATGATGTAGGCTTTGGAGAAGAGGAGGAAAGTGAGGGAGAAAGGGAGAGTGAACAAGGAGGAAGAGAGGGTTTGTGAGAGTTTAAGGCTTAGAATGTTGAAGAAGTCAAGAGAAGAAGAGAAACCAGCACCACGGAAGAGCATGTTTAGTCTCCCATGAAGAGAGGAAGAGGAAGAAGAAGAGAAGAAGAGCGGAGAGAGGAGGAGAGCGGCTGAGAAAGGGAGGACAACGGCGGCTGCGGTGGTGGCTTGGTGGTAGTGTTTGAGGAATGTGTAGATTGATCTTCTCATGATCTTGCTTGGCTCTTCCATTGTCTTCTTCATTCTAGTTTTGCTTTTTTTCAAGAAGTTGAAGATGTGTGTTTCTTGAATGATCCACCAAATCTTGAAATAGGTTTCTCAAATAAGGTCTATATATAAAAAAATGAACTATGTGTATATGTATATATTGCTAAATAATTTGTGGGTTGGGTGTTAATTGTTTAAGAGGGAATGGAGATAGGCCAACCGATTTTGCCTGACGTTGAGGAGTTGGTTAGAAATTTTAATAAAATAAAACTCTTTTTTTTTCTTGTAAAGCAAATAAAAGGAGCAATGCTTTTATGCATGGAAATGATCTTTCTTTGTGAGTAGAATACAATTATAATATTGTACATTACGTTTCCTTGTTAGGTTAAATTGGGTATAATATAGATTTGTTTCTTAGGTAATGTTGTTAGGAGAAATAAATCTTTTTTTTTGGGGTTTGATTTTAATCCATATTTCTTGAAAAGTAGGTTGCTTGTATGATGTGCTTAGTGTTCTAATTGGATTTGGATGCTTAGAATACACTCCATTTCATATATACATATGTATATGTTGTATACATTGAATAGTTGTGTATTAAATTGTGAGAGAATGAGTCTATGTATTAGAATTCAATTGAAAGCTTAGTAATTATAGGTTTGAGGAAACTGGAAGTCTTAGCTTTCAAGAAATTGAATAATGATACGAACTCAAAAGAGTAAAGTAATAATATTTAAATAAATAAATTTGTATTTGAAAAATTGGTGCTCGTGTTATGTGTTTTTTTATAATGCAAACAACTTAGAATGATTCTTGAGTGAGAAATTTCCAAACTTTTGGTGAGGCGACTTAATCATATGCAAGTTACCAAACCGACTAAGTTTAGCTTTAGTGAAAAGTAAGAATGTTTATAAAAAGTCTAGCTTGTACCATGTTATCTACTATAAAGTTTAACTATAAATATCCATGTATATTAATTAACAATTGTGTTCCTATAAAAATGCTATAATATGAAATATAGCTTTTTTAATCAAACAAATAATCTGACTTAAATATAATCAAGAGAAGAATTTCGACGGAGGTGATAAATTATCAAACTTTGCCCAACCTCTGGTATGCAGACTTATTGACTTGGACTTGGTGGTTAGGGAGTTCTCCATTTGGAATTTAATATTGTATTGTATATAATTTCTGTATATTATTAAATATTCTTTCGTTTCTTATTATCCACTATCAGTAATTTATTTCTATTAATGGTATATTGTAACAATTTAGGCGTTATCCATCCTTGGTGAGTTCCATTAGAAGGGACTAGCGTTTACCAGGTCAGACACCTTTTATGTTTATGTATAAATCTACACATATGACATGGAGAAGAAATCTCAAAGTGTGTTTGATAAAAAGTATTAATTAATGGAGTAATATTAAAAGTTAATGTATTAGTTTACTTATAAATATGGTAAGACCTCACAAAGGTTCTTGGTGTTGGTGTGTTTAGTACAACAAAACATTTAACAACACTATCGTTAGGTGAATAACCAATATGACTCTTCTTGTGGCATGCCTGTTTCTTATTACGTATCCATATATTATTATTCTATTATTTTGAAGTATTATGGTTTGTATATTTACTGCTTCTTTTAAAACTAAAAAGAAACAACAAATTTTTATGTTTAGAACACCATTATCCCCGTGGCTTAAGGAGGGTTGCTTTAAAAAAATATAATAATCAGTGGAGTCCAGAAAAAAAAAAAATAATAACGCATCTAATAGCTGGAGAATAAATGTCCGATTTGGTGTGTTGCTTAGATAATTACGGATCATATTAACACATATCAGCCTGTAATTGATCAGTTTTTTTAATTTTTTAATTATTTTATTTATAATCAGGAAATTTTTTTTTAAGTAATCATTATGGATTATTGGGTTAATAGTGTCCTTAGTTGCTTCCGGCATTACTAAACTAATGAGCTAAATAAGATGCATTTGATCAGTTGGTGTTTAACCAACAAATAAAAGTAGACTATCACACTTTATAGCCAGTCAAAACTTAAAGATGTACATGAATCATTTGAACGCAAAAAATATTGTTGGGTTATAGACCTTGTATGGTGAGATTAGGACCTCCAAAAACTAGGATGGACAATATGCTACGACTAATCTCAAGTCAACGTTCTTAAAAGGTCAACGTTACTGACATGGTTGGCTCGGCATATTATCCGTTAAATTTGATTCGATTCGTTATTCGTTTCGATTCGATCCAAAAATTCCAGATATCCGTAAACTTTCGAATCAAAGCAAATACTAAAATCTAATATCCGTTAAAATCGAAGCAAATCACAAATATTAAAATTTTGGGAAGCGGTTATCCGATCCGATCCGGAAATATATAAATATATGTATACACTGATTATATTTAAAATTTTAAGTGCATAAAATTATATAATTATTATTCTAACACATGATTTTGAATAATTCTATTCACATTATCACTTATATAAATGTATTACATAAAAAAAGAAAAAAAATTATGACAATTATATTTTTTTGTTCTTAACTTTTGTGTTATTATAATAGCAACTTAAAATTCAAAAATTACAAAACATGTAATTTCACTAGTTCTTTTAATTTTTATTTTATATAACATGCAAACAAATATTTTTTCAAACAAATTAATATCAAAATTTTAAGATTATTTGTATTAATCAAAATGGATTAGATATCCGTAAATATTCGTAAATATCCGCAAATATCTATTTATTTCCCGGATATCCGTTTTTCCGGATATCCGTATTTTTTCGAAGCAAAGCAAATACCAAAATTAGATATCCGTAACATTCGAAGCAAATCACAAATACCTTGAAAAATCCGGATATTCGATCCACGCCCACCCCTTGGTTGCACCTTAGTGTTTTTTTCTTGTCAACTACACCTTTTGTTATATATATATATATATATATATATATATATATATGTGTGTGTGTGTTATTCATTTTAACTGGAACTGTATCCTGTTCACACAAAAAAAAAACTGGAATTGTATTTTTGAGTTTAAACTTATTATTTTATAACACAAAGATTTATTTTTATAATTTATAGCTTAAATATACACTCTCAACTCCCAACTAAATTACTAATAAACATTTATTATGCCATAATATATCAATTAATTAGTAATCATATTTAATATTGTTTATACTATCATTATCATCATTATAATTTGTATATCAAATAACTCGTGAATCATTGTGTTAGTGTGATTTGGATAGTGTTGTTTTATCAACCGATCCGGAATATTGTGACATCTAATCTACCTAATGAATTATGAGGATGATTGTTTACAGATTTTGCTGTAATTTTTGTTTTTGAAAAAACTACTTTTTAGCCAATCAAGTTTTTGGATAAATAGATTTCCTATAATATAGGGAAACTGGTTTTTGAAAAAAAACTGTTATTTCTAAAGAAAACCAAAAACCACTTTTTTCAAGTTTCTACAACAACATCACGTTAATTTCTCATCTTATAACCTTTTTTTTTAAGTTCATAAAAATGGTTTTTTTTTTCATTTATGCATTAAACATAGGAAAAATAAATGTGGTGATGTTGTAAACGAAAGTTCTCGTGTATGTAAACAAAAAAGTTCAAAACATATTTGTTTCATTTATACACTAAGGTAGGAAAAAATAAAGAAAAACGCTAACTACTATAAACAAATAAGTTTTAGTAAAAATATATTTTTTAACATGTATAATACAAAAATGATTTATATTATGAACATTTTTTGATTTTGTCATAAAAATCAAATTAATTATTTAAGTTACTTTTATGTAAAATTAATTTGCATGTTTTGTTAATAATCTGTTGGTATTATTTTATTTTAAAATTGTGATATATTCTTTTAGTTATTATATGTGTGTTTAAAAATACATAAATTAAGTTATAAGTTAAATATTTTAAAATAATATAAAACTAAAATAAATCAGTAATCAAATTTTAGGAAAACAAATACTCTAAAGAAAAAAAATAAAATTCAAAAATCTATTTTTTGGTTTAATTAAATTTGGGTTTTTAATTTATTTTTATTTCAACTTCAAATAAGTAATTAAAAATTAAAAATTAAAAATCATCATTCAAAAAATTTTCTGAAAACTAAAAGGGAAAATTCCATATAAATACCCCAACTAAATTCTATTAAGCTTTTTAATACCCAAACTTTTTCACTACCCAGTTTAAAACCTCAACTAATTATTCTGCCCATTTTAATACATCAACTTTTATAACTGTATCCATTTTAATACTCAGACTTTGTTTATTTTAATTAACAATACTAATAAATTTCCAATGAAATTTTAAAAATGTCTAAACTTCACAAAAAAGTTAATTTTATTATATGTTTGAGTAACGAAATTAAATAAATTTTTTATAATCTTTAGTTTTGTAATAAGTTTTTTTAAGTTTTATATATTGAATTTAGTTTGTTTTTTTGAAATAAAAAGTAAATTATTTTTTTCCTTCAAAAACTTTTTTTTTAAAACATTAAATTTTCTACAGAGTTTGTTTACCTTATTTCTTAAATCTTCAAATAAACTTAGAAAATTTAAATATTTTTTCTTAGATTTTGGAGATTTTTTAAATTTTCGTTTGAAATTTATTAGTATTGTTAATTAAAATAAACAAAGTTTGAGTATTAAAATAGATACAGTTATAAAAGTTGGTGTATTAAAATGGGCAGAATAATTAGTTGAGGTATTAAAATGGGTAGTGAAAAAGTTTGGGTATTAAAAAGCTTAATAAAATTTAGTTGGGATATTTATATGGAATTTTCCCAAACTAAAATGACAGTAAAATCAAAATTAAAAAAATAATGCTTCAAAATTAAAATAAAATATTTATTAAATGTAAAAGCTAAAATCAAAAACTAAAAACAAGAATCTGTCATTCGTGTTTTTTCAAAAACTAAAATCTACTGCAAAATCAGAAACCAAAAACTAAAAACCAAAAGCCAAAAACTAAAAACCAAAATCTAAAAACTATCCGAACAATCATCACCTATATATTTTTGTATGTATTATTGATAATTGAAATCTCATGTTGGAATTTACCTCTAAATTGTATAAAAATCCTTACTAAGATTATAGAAATATAACCACAACTACAAATACCGTTCTTTGTTCACTTGATGTATAATATACTTTTACGTATGATCGTAATATCGTATGTAAAAACATCTCCAAAAAACCTCTCTATTTTGAAGTTTCTAAAACATTATATTTGAAGTTTCAAAGTGTTTTTCTCCAAAAACAAAACTTCAAACTTAACTTCAACATTATTTATATTTTACATTATGATCCTTATATTTTTCATACTTAATATAAATTCATAAAACTTTTATAAATAACAAACATATATATATTAGTCATACAACAATATTAATTAATAAAATCTTATACTAAGATATAAAATTATAAATACAAATACATGATTAAATATTAACTACAAGCATAATACCACATTTTTGTTGTCAACTTTTAGTTTTTAATTTTTTTAAAAATATTAAACTACAAGAAAATATTTTAACTTTTATTATAAATTTTTTATGTCTAAAACCTAATTTAAAAAAATAAAAATAAATGTTAATTTGAAATATTTATGAGATATAAAAAATTAAAGATTAAAAAGATAAACAAGATAATATTTATGAATTATAAATTTTATTTGTTACTAGAAAGACTAAAATACAATTAAAAATATGAAATTTCAAACTTAGAATTTTGAATTTGAAATTTTGAAATTTTTTTTGAAGAGTAAAAAATTTTGAATTATAGAATTTCTTTTGGAAATGCTCTAATTATAGAGTTTCTTTTGGAGATGCTCTAAGAATTTAGAACCGAATCGTAATAGAGACTATTAACTAAAATTAACTCCATATTAGTTGGGATTATTTTTTAAATTAGTCATTGTCAACACGAGTACTTGGTTACATATAACTCGAATGATTAAAATTGTATAGAGAAAGAAAATCACGTGCATTGACGGCTGGAATGTTTACTTGTGATCTGTAAAGCTGTGGCCAAGAAATAAAACTATATATACATATAGCTCATTGTATAATTACATCTTAGAGTTTATCCAAATTTAAGTTGACTTAAACATATGATATAAGACAAACATTTCGTAGTTCAATAGAGCTTAGCTATAATTGAAATAGTCATCGAATTATAAGGGAAACAAACACTAGTTTACAAAAATAATACACTGCATGGTTGGCAGACACACACACATATATATATAGTTGCTAATGATATATGTACGTATGTCTGTGCAACTGTTGTAGACATAAAATGCGACAGGTCCATGGACGGGAAGGTGATTTTCATTTTCTTTAGATATGTACGGAGCAGACCGGAATAATAAACCAGTTTTCATGTTCATATTAATATGTTGGGCTTAAGTTGGGTCAAAACATCACCATTAGTGTAGGCTCATATGATGGCCATATAGTTTTCATGGACTTGTATCTATGATGGGTCTAACTGCCTGTTGGATGGTAGAGACGTCATAAAGACAAAGGTTTGTTTCTACTCCTCTTACAAAGTGTTCGGTGAAATGCCTGTAGTTACATACTCTGTTTCTAACTTTTTCTTTCGTTTCTCTGTTTTTTTTGCTGCAGAGAATAGCTCAGCTTTTGCATCAGATTGCTCAGATGAACAAGTTACTTATAGAAAATAAAAATTTGAACTGATTAAACCTTTTGTAATAGCTCACAACTAGAAGTTTCAGTAATAAGAATCAACTAGACAAAGATCACACATAGATTGTTGTCGCGAAGAACGAGTTACTTATAGACAAGAACTGATTAAAGCTTATGTAGTAGCTGAGAACTTATAAGTTTCAATAGTAAGAATCAACGAGAGAAAGATCACACATAGATTCTTGTCGTGAAGAGCAGACGAATCTACAGTCTACTACTCAATGTTTCTGCATTGTTATTTCATTAAAAGCAAAAAAAAAGTTACCTGAGTTTTTTCTTGTGATACATACGTTGCTCTTAGATCATATGTTCTTCTTGGTCTTGCTCCTGCGTTTCGGTTTTGGTTTCAGTTTCGGCTTGGCTCTATTCATCTTCGGACGAATCTTTAAGTTAAGCGCACGAGGATCCACCAATGCAGCCTCTTCTCTCTTCTTCACGGGTTTGAAAACCTCTGTCACACTAGGATCAAGCAAGTCCTTAGAGCAACTAAGCGTAACACCAAGTGACATTGCCTCTTCCCAAAGCTCCCTTCCTTTCTCAAACTCTCCTCCTTTACACAACTTTGTTATGAGCAGATCATAAACCTGACCATAACCACCCACAGAGCTCGTCCTCTTCATCTTCTCAAACAACTGAAGCGCGAAATTCACCCTCTTGACACCACAAAGAACACCAATCAGATCATAATAGAATCTGCGTTCAGGTCTCAGCCCTCTCTCAATCATCTCATCCACCATTTGGTTGCCTTTACCAAACCTCCCTGTCAGATACAAAACCCTCACAACAAAGTAATAGCTCGCTGTATCCGGATCACACCCTGTTCTCTTCATCTGTTCAAGAATCTGACAAGACTCTCTCACCCTCCTCGTCCTCCCCAAGCAAGAAAGCAATACGTTGTAACTAAGAGACGTTGGTTGCACTTTATAAGACCTCATCTCCAACATAACGTTCAAAGCCTCAGGGACAAGACCAGAAGGGTTACGTGCCACGTTTCGTTCGCATAGGCAAGTAAGCATTGCGTTGTAACAGAACAAATCAGGAGCAATCCCTGCTGATTTCATATCTTGTATCACTCTTCTCGCCTCCTTCACGTTTCTTTGAACCGACCAACCGAATAAAAGACTTCTATACACAGACAATTCATTACCAGATACCAACTCCTTGTGGTGATGCATAACTCCCAATGCTCTCTTCACATGTCCTCTTGAACAGAGCGCGCTTATAATAGCAGTCACTGTGAAGCTATCTCGTGGGCAAGAGAACTTGTCCAATATCTTGAAGATACCTATTGCATCATCTTCTTTACCAATCTTAACCAGAGTTTCAGCAACGAGGCTAAACGTTTGCTTATCCATGACCCTATTCTCCTTCCTGAGATCTGATAAAAGTATCTGAATAGCTGTGTAATCTTTCTTCTCAGCCAAAACTCTTAGGACATGGTTGAACTCCTTGTCTTCTAAGCTGGAACCAAGGTGTTTACAAGACCAGGAGAAGAATCTCAACAGCCTTCTCGGTGAAGTCTCGTTCTTGCATGAGTCAATCACTTGGGTAACGAAGTTTGGTGATGGAGAGACTGAAACTTTGTTCAAGTTTTCTTCGAGGTCATCAAGACCACCAATGTGGGAAGAAACAATCTGAATAACTTCCTGCAACTCCGTTGATGCATTGTCTACTAAGTGGTGAGAGCATAAATAGCGTGTCAGTTTTGTAGTTAACGGAAACCCGTTTGATCTGAGTATCGAAATCATTCTTCTCTGAGGAATTTCATCAAACACTTGGTCTGCACTTTCTCCTTCAAAGTTCTAGAGATCACTAATCACTGAAAGGGTTCGAAAACAAAGCTCCCCGAAGATACAAATTTCTCTGATAAATCAGCTTTGGTGTAAATTCTTGTAAAGAACACGACAAGCAGATCCCACTACAAGACCTGTCTTTTGTTTTGCAGAACACTAGCGACTGCACACAAAAGACTGTTATACAAATAGAAAGATTAATTAAACCGGATAAAACCGAGAATTGGGAGACAACGGTTCTAAGGGTAAATGCTAACCGGATTGATTACCCCGAAGTCACACATGATAAAATATTATATTC